TGTTGGTATTTTAATAGCAATTGCATTGAATCTACCTATAGAATACTATGGTTAGTATAGATATTTTACTGATGTTGGTTCTTCCAATCCATGAACATGGTATACATTTCCATTTTTTCTTCCTCTATTTCTTTATCCAATGCCCTATAGTTTTCCAAATACAGGTCTTTTACTGCCTTGATTAAGTTCATTCCTAGGTATTTTATTTTTTTGTTGCAATGATAAATGGGATTTTTTTTTAAGTTTCTCTTAATGAGAGTTCATGATGGGTATATAAAAATGCCATTGATTTCTGGTTGGTGATTTTGTATCCTGCTACCTTGCCAAATTCATTTATTAACTTTAGTAGTTCCCTTGTGGGATTTTAGAATTTTCCTTGTACAATATCATATCATCTACAAATAATGACAATTTTCTTCCCCCTTTACAATTTGGATGGCTTTTAATTTCTTCTCATCTTATTGCTATGCCTAGGAAATCAAGTACGATGTTGAATAAGTGTGGTGAAAGTTGGCATCCATGTCTTGTTCCCATTCTTAACTGAAATGCTTTTAGTTATTGACCATTGAGTATCCTGTTGGCTGTCAGTTTGTCAGATATGGCCTTTATTATGTTGAGATATAATCCCTCTATTCCCACATTACTGAGATTGTTTTTTAACAAAAAGGATGCTCGATTTGGTTGAATGCTTTTTTTGCATCTATTTATAGTTTGGTGGTAATAAGCTCCATTAGCCTTTGTTTCTCTGTAAAGCTTTTTATTTCAACTTCAATTTTGAATGATAGTCTTGCTAGACACAGTAGTCTTGGATTTAGGCCCTTGTTTTTCATTACTTTGAATACTTCATTCCACTCCATTCTGGCCTGAAGTGTTTCTATTGAGAAGTCAACTGACATTCTGATGGGAACTCCTTTGTAGATAATTTTCTCTCTCTCTTTTGCTGCCCCTAAAATTGTTTCTTTGTCTTTAACATTTGCCATTTTAATTATGATGTGTCTAGGTGAGGTTCTCTTTGGGACCCCTTCTGTCCCCTGAATTTGTGTGATTATTTACAAGGTCTTCCTTGGGAGAAGGCTGCAGGAAGCTGCAGAGGCTAGGCACCCAGCCTCGCCACTCCCCAGACTAGCTGTAGTCAAGGCCTGAAACCACGAGCACCCCACCTCAAAATCCACACAAACATGTGCCCCAAGGACACAACCCAGACCCAGTGCATGCCAGCCAAAGACACTACCAGACAGTGCACCTAAGTGAACACCAACTGGGCTCCTTAAGCTCCTTAAGCACCCTTATAACCTTTACTTTGAACTCTATGTGTGATAGGTTGCTTGCCTCCTTTTATTTAGTTCTTTGTCTGGAGACTCCTTCATTTGAAGGTTGTTCCTTTGTCTTTCCATGTTAGCAGTCTCTTTGTATTTGCTTCTATGTATTAGATAAAACTGCTATGCCTTCCAGTGTTTGGGGGATGGCCTTATGTAGAAAGTATCTTGAGGGATTCAGTGGTACAGTCTCTTTGTTCACCTGAACTTGATATCTAGGAATGCCTCTTGTGTATTATTTGGGATCTCCTATTGTAATTGGGACTTGATTGTTGATGTCCCATTTGCAGGAGAAATTTCTCTTCTGACTTGCTGCCAGTGAGATTCAACCCCAACATCATTGTGCCAGCTATTATACAGGTGCAGATAGAATAGAATAAGAACCAACAGGGCCAAACTAATCACACCATGAAAATCAAGGTACTCAATGCAACAAAAGGAAAACTAAGAAGGAAAAACAAAAGAAATCAAAGCAAAGAAAATATAAAAAGAATACCATAAAACACTCAACCAAAGACTTAGAGGTTATGTAAAGAAAATGGGAGAAAGAAGGAGACCAAAAATTGCTATATGGAAGCAAGGAAGAATATAAAAAAAGCTAATATAGAAGGAAAAAATAAAAAGAAACCAAACTAAATTTAAAACATAATAATAATTGATATATTAAGATATAGATAGAAAAGTGAAATGGAAAAAACAAAACAAATAAGAAAAATTAATAATAATAGAAAAAAGTTGAATAGAATCAAAGAGAGAAATTAGACAGATGCAAGAAAAAAGAGAAGAGAGGAAAAAAGGAGAGAAAACAAACAAGCAACAACAACAAAAAAAACAACACACACACACACACACACACACACACAAACACACACTCAATCCTTTGGGTACACAATTTATTTTGCTCACTGCATTTTGCTCTGATGTTGTTGAGTCTGGTCCCTTGGTGTGTCTATCCTGAGCCTCCTGGGAGCTTCTCTGGTGCAGGTGAATGTTACTCACTGTTCCTTCTGGCCCTGGGCAATCTGATTGAGGTCTGAGAGGTTCAAGCCCCTAGTAGTCCAGAAGACAGGGATTCCTCAGTCAAGAGGCTGGGTCTGCCTTGAGTCTCATGTCTTGATTGTCCCTGTTCTGAGCAGCACTCCCTTCCCCCATGGAGCTGGTCCTGGAGGTGTGGCAGGTGCACAGAGGTTTCAGCTGATGTTCACATAGCTGCACGGACTGGAGGGGTGTCTGGGCTGATGTTAACTTAGGTGCAGAGCCCCAGTGGTGCCTGTGGCGGGCACACATAGAGCCCAGTTGGTGTTCACTTAGGTGTACTGTCTGGTAGTGTCTTTGGCTGACATGCACTGGGTCTGGGTTGTGTCCTTGGGGCACATGTTTGTGTGGGTTTTGAGGTGGGGTGCTCATGGTTTCAGGCCTTGACTACAGCTAGTCTGGGGAGTGGTGAGGTTGGGTGCTTAGCCTCTGAAGCTTCCTGCAGCCTTATCCTAAGAAAGACCTTGTAAATCCTTCAAGATGGCATGGTTTCCAAGCCAGAGCCACACCCAGGGGCATGCGTGTAGCAATACCAGGGGCTCTTTGGCCAGGAGAGCCCAAACCACCCACCCCTGAGACTCCTGCACCATAGGACTCTCTCCCTCTCTCTCTCTCCCTCTCTCTCTCTCTCTCTCTCTCTCTCACACACACACACACACACACACACACACACACACACACACACACACGTCCACACATGCGCCCTCTCACTCACTCACTCACTCTCTCCCTCACTCTCTCCCTCACTCCAGTCCTGCCAACTGCCATGTTGGAATCTTCTGCTTGATTCTTATTCATTTTCTACCACTTTTTTTCATGCTGGTGTAGTTCTCAGTAGGTTCTTTATAGTTCTCATCAAGTTGCTTGTAGTTCTCACTAATTTGTTTGAACCCCCTTATAACCATTACTTTGAATTCTTTATCTGACAAATTGCTTGCCTCAATTTCATTTAGTTCTTTTTCTCAAGATTCCTCTTTTTCTTTCATTTGGGAATTATGTTTTTGTCTCCCCATTTTAGCTGTTCAGTTGTCTGGGGCACCTGGTGAGGTGGGCCAATTGAAGGGGCAGGTTTGTGCATCTGGGGATAATGGGTTACACTGGTTTGCGGTGGTAGGTCCTATCTTCTGGTGGTGTCAGGTTAGGTGTGCTGGGTCATGGTGGCGGGTCCATATGTCCAGGGGCATCAGGTCATGGATGCAGGGAACATTGGGTCATAACTGCAGGGTTGGTCTCAAGGCAGCTTGGTTGGTCATCTGGGGGCACCGGGTCAGGCACAATGGGTTCTGATGGCAGAACCATGCATATGGGGTCATTGAATCACAGTGGCACAGCCAGGTGCGCCATGTCAAGGCAGTGGGACCAGTCATCCAATGGCAGTGAGTTTGTTTGCCAGGTCAGGACATCAGATCTATGCATCTGGTCATGTACTCACCTAGGCAGTGGGATCAGTCATCCCAGCGTCATGGTTCAGGCACACCAGGTTGCAACATCAGGCCCCTGTGTCTGAAGGTGTCTTGTCCCAGCAGTTTGTCTGTGGTCTAGGGGCACTGGGTCATGGCTTCTCCCTGCTGACTCCTTTGTAATTCCACTTTGAACTTTGTAACTTCTGCTGCTATCTTGGATACCCACTCCATGCTGTCATTTTAAAAAATCTCTCATATGAAGTGAAATTGAATTGTATAATAAAGACCATTTCCTCCACCTAGTATCAACTATCTTAGCCATATTTCCTCCCCATACCTACCCCCACCAAATGTATATATTTAATTAACTTGAATCCATGGTTTTTAATAGATTAATTTCTTATATTTTTATTTATATTTTTATAGTCATATCAACTTTGCATGGCTATTGGTTGTCTCTTTCTGTTGCACAATCAAAACAACAATGTTATGGGGTGGTGATGATGGCTTTGGGATGATTACTTGGTTGCTTATTATATGAAAGCTATTTCTGTTGTTAAGTCAAAATATAATTTCTTTAATAAATGCTTTTCTGCTAGCGGTGGTGTGGATGAAGTTTTCTAATTCCCTTTAACCCTTTGTTTCTACAGTACTTTTAACTTACGCTGTTGTCACCTTTTTATATATCAGGCCTCTAAGGGATTGTTCAGTCTTTCAGGTTGCTCTTCTCAAAAGCGTTGCCTTCCCAAGATAAGAATTTTCCAAAAGTATTGAGACATCAAGTCACAGAGGCAAGAAGGTCAGAGAATCTAATTAAGAAAAATACAAACCTCCCAAGCACCAGTGAGATATATCCTAGTAATGAAAAGAAGACAGGCTGACAATAAATTATTTAAGAACACATCTTATGATGTTAGAAAAGTAATCCCCCAAAATGGAGAATGTGAAAGAAAATAATAACATCAATTAAAAATTTGGAAAACAGGAGAACCAAGATGGCAGCATAAGGTATAAACCTGTGTGTGCTGCCTCCCCCAACAACACTGAAATTACAACTATAAGACAAAACAGCTATCATCCAGAGCCACAGGAAAGCTGGCCGAGTAGAAGTTCTACAACTAGAAGGAAAGGAAGAAGCTCATTGAGACCAGGTAGGAGGTGCAGAGGCGCCAAGAACAGAGGGGATGAAGGTGTGTGCGAGGAGGTTACACCTTGGTGCGTGGATTTTTTCAATCAGAAGGGATACAAGCTCTCGAATGCACTGAGCTCATTTAAGGCAAGATTCTGAGGTCCCAGACTCTTACGGGGAGAAACTGGAATGTCTTGCAGTGGTTTGGAAAGTAGGGGGGTTTTCTCGCAGAGCTGCTTGGGGGGATCATTGTTGCTGTGGGGGCCTGGGACTACAGAGACACAGAGTCACGGAGATGCCAGGAGTTGCGGACACACTGACGACAGTCGCTCCGCCCTGGTGATTCTCTAAGACCCCGCTGTGCTCAGTGATGCAAAAGAATCACCTTGGCTTTTGCAGCCTAATCTAACTGCAGCTGGGTTAGAGAGCTCCAAAACTTCCAAATTCCAAACAAAGAGGAGAAATCTGCTGACATCGCTGTAGCTCCTGCTGGGTGGACTCACACAGTGGTTGACTTGGAGATCCAGGAGCCAGGGCACCTCTGGTCAGATACCAGATTTCAACTCCTCACATCCATAAGGGA